CTTCTGCCCTACAGCAAAAATGTCATTCACGTGGACGACGATGATCATGATCACATGACCCTCCTCCATCAATCGAAAAACACATGCATCCGCCAGACACTGCAAAAAACCTAAAAGTAACAAACACCTCGTCAGGTGCGCATGCCAATGTCGTGATGCCTGCTTCAAACCATACAGACTCTTGCATAGCTTCACGATCAAGCCAGATAACCTACCACACCCCTGCGGTAAGCGCATGAAAACATCCTCATCAAGCTCAGACTGCACAAAAGCCTGCTGAATATCGAAATGGCACAAGTCAAGATTCTGCTCACATGCTAATGCTGCCAACAAGCGCACACTAGACACTGATACGGTGGGTGCAAACAATTCTCCAAAATCAATCGAAGCCCTCTGCATGTCCCCCCGCGCTACAAGTCTTGCCTTGAATTTCGTCGGCCATCCGTACTCGTCTGCCTTACAGTTAAAGACCCACTTAGCATTGATGGCGTTCTCTACTGGTTGCTACACCGGACTAAAAGTTCCTGCATCCAACAAACCGAAAAACTCTCGACCGATTGCATCATTCCATAACTCTGAATGTTGAGACCGCATGGCCTCGTTGAACGTCTTCGGCTCGCGGAGGTCGCTGGCCATGCAGTGCGGAAGGTCAGGCATCTTGTCGGGCGGGCGCTCGGCGCGAAGTGCGGCGTCCACATCCTCACGGGTGGCGAACATCGTTGCGAACATCTGCGGTCTCCCCCCCCCCCCGGAATCCACGGGCCCCCCAGCTCCCACTGCCCCCCCGCTCTCACGGCCTCCAAAGCTCGGATCCGGCGGCGGCGGAGGCGGTGGGTCACACCGTCCTTGGTCGACGGCCTCGCGGGTGGCCAGCGACGAGATGAGGGAGTCCTTGTCCATCATCGCCAACAGTCCAAGGCGGTGGTGGAGAGCGGTGCCGCCACCTGACGGCGACGGCGGTTGCTGTTGCTCATCCATGAAGCGCACTCGGTCGCCGCGCGTACGGCCATGTACCCTGGTTTCCTTCTCGCCCAACTCTCTGACGGCTCGCTGTGAAAGCGGCGGGTGATGGGGAGCGGGAGCGGCGGCGCTTGCGGGCGGTGGTGTCGGCGGTGGACGGGGCGGCGTGGCTACGGTGGACGGCGGTGCACTCGACGACGCCGTGGAGATCGGCGACGGGGCTGATGATCCTGTGAAGATCGGCGGAGAAGCGGGCGGCGGCGGTGTGGTGGTCGGTGGTGCAGGCGGGATGTATGTGTACATCCTTGTCGACGGGGGCGGCGGCGGTGCGGCAGCGGCCGCAGGTACGGCGGCGCCCGGCGAGGGCGCCGCGGTGACCGAAGAACCCCCCCCGATGCCCGGCACCGGGGCCGGCGCTCCTGCCCGGCGGTTGACCCACACGACGTTGTTGGTGAGGGCGAGGCGACCGGTGTCAGCGCGAAGAACGACAGCGGTAGACGTCGAGTGGTTGTTGGCGCCGTGCAAGTAGAAGCACCGCGCGGATTGGACGTCCGCCTTGGTAGCCCGCTTCACGCGCATCATCCCCTCCTGGAAAAAAGGGACGACGGTGAGGGGCGGTTTCCGGCCGAAGAACGCCTCAAACGGAGACATCCAGCCCAGGTTGGCCTTCGTCGCCGAGCGGTTGAAGCAGGCGGATGCCCACAGCGCCGACGCGAGCCACAGGCGATGTCCGTTGACGCCGACGTTGGGGACGGAGGAGAGGTCGACGTGGCCCATGGCGAGGATGTGGCGGCGAGCGGCGTGGCCCCCCTTCATGGCGCGCCAAATGGCGCTCTCGACCACCGCGTTTTGCTTGGGGGTGTCGGGGGCGGTGTACTCGCGCCGAATGCCAGCAGCGTCGCAGAACGAGGTGAACGCGGAGCCGGTGAACTCGCCGCCGTTGTCCATGCGGAAACACCCCGGAGTGCCCATGCCGTTCATGTCGGCGAGAAACCGCTGCACGAAGTTCAGGGTGTCGCTCGTGGCCCGCANCCGTTGACGCCGACGTTGGGGACGGAGGAGAGGTCGACGTGGCCCATGGCAAGGATGTGGCGGCGAGCGGCGTGGCCCCCCTTCATGGCGCGCCAAATGGCGCTCTCGACCACCGCGTTTTGCTTGGGGGTGTCGGGGGCGGTGTACTCGCGCCGAATGCCAGCAGCGTCGCAGAACGAGGTGAACGCGGAGCCGGTGAACTCGCCGCCGTTGTCCATGCGGAAACACCCCGGAGTGCCCATGCCGTTCATGTCGGCGAGAAACCGCTGCACGAACTTCAGGGTGTCGCTCTTGGCCCGCATCCCGTACCCCCGTTGCCACCGCGATGCGCTGTCCACGAACATGATCAGATACCGGGAGCCGTCCAACGCGTCAGAGAACGGGCCCGTGAGGTCGATGTGGATTTTGCCGAACGGTACCGCCGCGCGGGTGCCACGCCGCGGCACCGGGGCCCGCCTACCCTTCGCTTCCACGCAGCCCACACACGGCTGCATCTCCCCCACCAATCGTACGCCCTGCTGCTTGGCCGTTTCACGCATCAAGAATTCGTTGACATGGCCGGTGGAGGCATGGAACAAATTAATGTCGATGGTGGGCGTGGATTTTCCTACCGAAAATGGGGAAGCACCGGGGGCGATAATCGCCAAGGCATGCGAGAGAGAGGGGGGAGCTACGGTCTGCTGCTCACTGCATCCAGCAACAAAACCTTTCAGGCACTCCAAGTCATCACTCATCACGGGAAACGCGGGGGGAGGGGGTGTTGCGGAATCGCAAGCATCAAGCGCATCCGGAAAAAAATCATCCTGTGGGACCGAGTCTTTTCCATCCATCAGGCCAACACCAAGGAACATGCTCATATCCATGAGAGGCAAATGGTTCTGGGGGATGAGGGGGTTGATCACAACTTCACGAGAATCGCTCGGGTCAACGACGGAGGGAGAAACAATCTCAGACGATGCTACGGCAGCCGTAATTACAGGCTGGAAGTCGGCAATAGTCGTTGGCACTACATCTACGTCGATGGGCGGGAATGCACAATGCGGAAGCACTACACCGGAAGTGGCGGATGGGAAGCTCGAAGATGCACTCGCAGACCAAGGTACAACACCGGCAGTGGCACCACCGGCGGACTGGAAGCTCGGACTCGCACTCGAACTCGAAGGTACAACACCGGCAGCGACTCCACCGGCGGACTGGAAGCTCGTACTCGCAGGTGTGCCCGCTCCTGTGTTTGGTGGGAAAGGGGGGTTCGCAACAACAAGGCCTGTCCCAACGCTAGGCGAGGGAGCTTGGGGAGACACACGAGGGAGGGCATCGGGACCGAGGGTCACAGCACTACCGGTATACGTGGGAGGCAAGCGAGTGGCCCAGCGTGAACATCCTACATCGGAGTAGGCAAAGGAAAGCTGGCCATTGAAGAGATGCACGCCATTCTCATCCAACATAATTCTCTGCCTACGCTGCGTATGGTGGAGAGAAAACAGATTGAATGTGATGCCGGGGACTACGTACACGTCCGACATCTGCACGCAAAAATCGGTCTCGCCCGAAGGGCCGGGCATGTGAAATGCCATGTTGATGCTACCAACACATTGCACGCGCAGATAGGCACCATTCCCTACTTGGATGAACTCTTTTCCTGCTGGGATTGGCTTCATGTCGAACATGTTTTCGCTACTGCTGACAAACGTGTTGCTCGCGCCTCTGTCGGCCCAAAATTGCTCTCTACCAATCTGCGAAGGGCGACTCTGAACAGACAAAGCGAAACCACTACCATTCTCACGCGCTACCACATTTGGAAAGATCTCGCCTTGTGACACAAAACGTGTCTTGAGGGAGTGAAGATGGCCAGGGGATCCGGCTGCGTCGGGAGGAGGCGAATGGTACGGGGCATGGGTCGAGTGCTGCTGCTGCTGCTGGAACGACGGCGGTGGCGGAGGCTGCGGCGGTGGCTGCTGCTGCTGCTGGTAGTACGGTGTCGGAGGCGGGTAGTACGGCTGCTGCTGGTAGCTGTAGTCTTGCGACGGTTGCTGATACTGTGGCTGCTGCTCCCACCCCCCATACTCGGTGCCATACGCGGGCCCCCCATGGGGCGCAGCACTATACGTTTGACTCACATTTGCATGCCCGTGCGGGGGCCGCCACTGCTGCTGCGGTGTACGGGGGGGAGCTGGATGTCCGTGATGCTGCTGTCCTCCGTAGCCGCCGTGAGGTCCGTGCTGGGGCCCACCCCCCCAGCCCCCCCCACTGCGGCTCGGCTGCTGTGGCGGCGGTCCCCGAGGTTGCTGTTGCTGCTGAGGCCGCTGCTGGTGTGGGGGCTGTTGCTGTTGTTGGGGCTGAGGCTGTTGCTGAGGCTGTTGCTGAGGCTGCTGCTGCTTGGGCTGCTGCTTCTTCCGTTGGCGACGCTGGGTGTAGCACTCGCTGTTGGTATGTGACGAGTACGGATGATAGTCGCAGCGCTTGTCTCCGTCCGCCCTGTTGTTGCTGCTCCGACCGCCTCCACTGCCGTCCTGACCCCCGCCGTTCCCACTGGACCCATTTTGGACACGTCCATCGCCCCGGTTCCCACCGGCAGCGACGAAAGCGTGCCCCGCGCCATTCTGCGGCTCCCCCTCCCGTGCGGTCACCATATCCTGATGGGCATCTTTCACGACCTTTTCAAGGTGCTGACGGGTTAAATTGGGGGGCGGAAGGGCACGCAGCATGGCTTTCTCCATCTTGTACTCTGAAGACAAGTTGTACACAACGTGCAGATTGGCATCATCGTCGGGGTACGTGACGCCGTGTGAGGCTAACCTACTGCGCAAAACAGCAAATCTCCCGAAGTATTCTTGCGGGGTTTCACCCACTCGCATTTTGATTGCATGGTATTCTGCAGTCAACCGTGTTTTTTCTGCCCTTGCCTGGGGTTCGTAGTATGCTAGAAATAGTTTCCAACCCCCACTGGGACTACCATCAGCAATAATCTGGGTCAAGACAGGCATGTAGGTGATTGTCGTGATAATCAAATTCCACGCCGTGATCGCCTTGTCTACCGTCTCAGGCGAGTGCATCCTACGTAAGTCCTCCATGTCTACTCCTTCTAGCCCAACTGGAATTCTGCGGTCACTCAATACCACTTCCCGGACTCCTT